GTGACGGAGAATATGACGTTTCAATTTTGATTTGAAACAATTCAAATTCAAAACCTGGAGCTCCTGGGGCAAAACATTATAAAGTTCGATATCGAGTGAATTATTCTGAGATTTGTTCAGTCTCTAACGTATTGGCCTTAAATTATTTCCATAACGAGTATGGTAATTATGAGAATTAGAGTTGGTAGAAAACGAATTTCTGTTTTTGTGTGTATCTCGATAACTGGAGCATATATGGATAAGGATGGTATAGGTATAATAAACAGTTCCTTAAATATTGGAAACTCAAAATTATCCAAATATTGTTATGTTAACTGAACATTGGTTGGAACAGGGTGAACCCCTTTATTTACCTGACTATTTTTTGATATCACAATACTGCAGAACTGAGTCTGTGCATGGAGGAACATTAATCCTTCTCCACAAAACAATATGTGATACTGCCAGATTTATTGAATGCAAGAATTACGATCATTTGTTAGTTGAGAAAGAATTTGAATTTTCAGTAATTTTTTGTAATGATTTCAATTTATTTGTCTTTTGCCTCTATCGGTCACCATTATGTAATGACAATACTTTTCTGGAGAGGCTGGAAATATTATTGTCGCTTATTTCTCCTAGCGCATCTGTGGTCCTCGCTGGTGATTTCAACATCAATTTTGAAAATGAACTTTCTAGATCAACAATATTATTGGAAAATGTGCTGAATACATTCAATCTCGTAATGCATGTTGACTCTCCTACACGTATATCTAAATATTCCAGTTCCATTTTGGACTATGTCTGTTCAAATAGTCACAAAATTAGCTGTGAAGTCATAAGTGCTGGTCTCTCCGATCATGAGTCTGTTCTGTTTAATATCCAAATTGGCTCAAAACCATTGCGACCAAGAAAGAGACTTGGTAGGATTTATAGTCAAAGAAATTATGTAACATTTAGACGACTTTGTAACGAGACACATTGGAATAATCTACAGCTTCACGATGTAGACCCGTTGAGTATGTTTCATGCTACATTGTCAAACATTTTCAGTATTGCATTCCCTCTCATAAAAATTAAGAATAAAGAGAAAAAACCATGGATCACGAAAGGCATTAAGGTTTCAGCAAACAATCTACGATCCTTGCATTTAGTTCGGAAATATTTAGATAACAGTAATGAAGCTTTTATTTTATATTATAATAAATATAGAAACGTTTATAGAAAAACTATAAAGGCAGCAAAACAACAGTATTACAGCCAAAGAATAGAAAGGTCGGCTAATAAACAAAAAGAATGTTGGGCGATCACAAATGACCTCAGGGGTAAAAACAATAGGGCTACAATGCAAACTGACATAGATTCTGATTATATCAACAGCTACTACTGCTCTGTGGCAAGAAATCTATCCAAAGATATAAAACCCAACGTTCATCCTTTGAGTTATCTCAAGGACAAATCGATTTCAGACTCATTTTACTTCTTGCCAACAGACGTTACTGAAATAAAACAAACTTTTCAAGAAATAAAAAATTTGAATTCTTCTGGTTGGGATGACATGACCATAAAATTGTTCATGAATCTTCCTAATTCCGCTCTCAGTGCTCTGGCAGAGGCTATAAATATGTGTTTTATAACGGGAATATTCCCGGCTTGTTTAAAAACGGCGATTGTCATTCCATTACATAAAAGTGGTGACACTAACAATCCTGCTAACTTCAGGCCTATTTCTATGCTACCAACTCTAGCTAAAATAATAGAAAAGCTTGTAAAAAAAAGGATGATGTTATTTTTAAGTAAATTCAATATTATTAGTCAGAATCAATTTGGGTTTCAAAGCTCAAAAAGTACTGGTGATGCTATGTTTCATCTTCTTGAAAATGTTTATTTATGCCTAAATGATCGATACATGGCTGCAGCAGTCTTCTGTGATCTCTCGAAAGCTTTCGACTGCGTTGACCATGGAATTCTGCTGCAAAAATTAGAAATATATGGCTTTAGAGATGTATCTTTGAAATGGTTCAAGTCCTACTTGTCAGAGCGAACTCAAAAAGTAACACTCAATGGCAATATCTCACATCCCCAGAGCGTAACTAGTGGGGTTCCACAGGGATCCGTCCTTGGGCCAATTTTATTCTTGCTATATATCAATGATCTAGCCCACATTGATATAGCTGCAAAGATAACACAATTTGCAGATGATACTACATTATCTTGGCACAGTAAGAATGAATTGGAATTGCAGGAATTAATCAATAGAGATATTATGAAGATAAAGGTCTGGTGCGATGCTAACCTTTTATCATTCAATATTTCAAAAACAAGTCTCATTACCTTTAAGGGTTCCAGGCTGGAAATAGTATTGGGTAATGAGATAATAGAAAATAAAATGTCAACAAAATTTTTAGGCTTGCAAATTGAAAACAGCCTGCAATTTACTGAACATATAAATGGCATTTGTAAAAAAGTTTCGTCAGGTTGCTTTGCCGTCAGAGTATCAGCGAATGAACTGGGCACATATGCTGCCAAAAGTGTGTATTTTGCACTTATTGATTCCCACCTACGATATGGTATCTGTTTTTGGGGAACATGCTGCCAATATTTATTCGATATGGTGTTTGTTTTACAAAAAAGAGGAGTTAGATATATGTGTAAGGCTAAATTCAGGGATTCTTGCAGACCATTATTCGTAAAATACAATATTTTGACATTACCTTGCATTTTTATTCTAGAGACGGTATGTTTGATGCAAAAAAAATATAAAAATGATATTTTCGCTACGTGCCAAATCAATACAAGAAACATACTCAACATACGTTTACCAATTCCAGTGTCTTCAAAAGTTAAAAGTTCCTTCATTTATAATGGTAAAAAAATATTCAATCACCTGCCAAATGAGATAAAATGCATTACAGATAACAAAAAATTCAAAAAAATTGTTAAAAAGCTTCTACTATCAAAAGCATATTACTCTTTGGACGAATTCTACGCAGATAAAAATGTTGACAATGGACTGCGTAATGTTTTCTGTTTAACTTGAAAAATTCATTTTTTTTACTTACAATGTGACTGTGGATATCTTATATTTATATTTACATATGTATATGTGCTTGATGTTGTTTATTTTTCTTGTTTTTATCCTATTTTGTGTCACGTAATTGTACAAATTGACTGTGTATATTTTTATATTTATTTATTTTACAACATATGAACTTTGTCAATGAGAGTATATCTTCAGACAATAAAGTATATTATTATTATTATTATTATTATTATTTGTTGACAGTAATCTCTGTAACCAGCACCAACGATAATTCTAATAGGTCTTCTTTGCATTTTGAAAACCTTCATAGCGTAAGAAGAGTTTCCCCATAAGAGTATGGTGTAATTTATATGAAAATGAAAAAAATTAGAAATAACATATTCGAACAGTACTGGAGCATAATTGGTTTTTCACATTACGCAAGAGATATATCGAACTTAACAGTTTATGACATAGCTGATCAACATGAGATGACCAAACATCTGAGGCGATCCATCTTACAGTGGAGTGAAGGCAATAGGACAGGACAAAATTCTTACAGTCGACTCCACCAAAGCTATACTTTATTGTAAGCAATCTTACAGGGACATGTTTCGAAGCTTTAAAGCTTCATCATCAGCATTATTGTTACATAGGAGTACTGTTCTGGAGGAATATAACTTTTTTCCTCCAGAACAGTACTCCTATGTAACAATAATGCTGATGATGAAGCTTTAAAGCTTCGAAACATGTCCCTGTAAGATTGCTTACAATAAAGTATAGCTTTGGTGGAGTCGACTGTAAGAATTTTGTCCTGTCCTATTGAGATGACCAAGTTAGTTTTGTCGTCTATTACAACTCCAAGAAGTTTGACAGTTATCCCATTGCCTGGATTTCTAGTCGAAAAAGACAATTCCTGTGTCTAATCATTATTCAATTTCAAATCGTTGGCACTAAACCACTTCTGTACTTTACTGAAAGAATCTGCCAAACTGAGAGAGACACTGTCTGCATCAATTCCAATATTGAGCAAAGTTGTGTCATCCGCATAAGCTACACATTTATTTGGAAACAAAGAGTGAAACAGATCGTCTACATAAACGATGAATAATGATGGGCCCAAAACAGATCCCTGAAGTACCCCGTGTAGAATATTGGAAAAATCTGAATGGAATTCATTAATATATACTGCTTGCTTTCTGTTGTGCAGGTAGGATTGGAACAGGTCGAGTGGTACGCCTCTGACACCATAGAAACGTAACTTTTCAATAAGAACCTCGTGTGAGACACAATCGAAGGCCTTCGAGAGATCGCATATAGAGTAATAGATACATCCATGCCACCCACAAGGCCTTCGACGATCTCACTAACGATTTTAAAAACCGCCTGGGTGGTACTACATTTAGTTCTAAACCCAAACTGGCAGCATTTGAGGAGTCCATTAGATTCGAAATATTTCATGAATCTCTGTTTCAGTTATATTTCGAAAACCTTTGATATTATTGGAATAATTGATATCGGACGATAGTTTGCAATCTGTGAAACATCGCCTTTCTTAAATATTGGTATAACTTTAGTGACCTTCAAAATATCTGGAAACTTTCCTTCTGTGATGCATGCATTGAACAGAATTACCAACGGATAGACTAATAAATCTATTGTTTGTTTCAAGAATGCACTATTCATACATCGGTACATTTGAGTTTTTCAAATTGCGCACAGCCTCGATCATTTCATGTTCCGTTACTGGTTCTAGAAAGAAGAAGAAACTCTCAGGGTCTACATTATTGTTTCAAATGGTCCCAATCAGGTTTTCTGCAATAGAGGAAAAATAATCATAGCAGGTATAGTAAGATCAGATGTTTTTTTCCTCGATTCATTTTATATTCGAGCTATCCATGGAATAGCGCAACTTTTTTGTCATTTCGTCAATTCTGTATCTTTTCCCGTTACCTTGATCCCTGCTCGGGCGCCATATAACGTCGTCTTCTGTTTCCAGACGGATTCCGTAATCTGCTGGACTTACGCAATTCCCATCCCTCCCTCAAGGTGCTGGTCAGCATGGGAGGGTGGAACGAGGGCACCAAGAATTTCTCGAAGGTGGCTGCTGATCCGGTGCTGCGCAAGACACTGGCCAATAATGTTGGCGCCTTCGTCGACAAGTGGGGTTTCGATGGGTTCGACATCGACTGGGAGTACCCCGGATCCAGGGAGGGGTCCAACGTTACCATCGATAAGGTGAGTGGAGATGCATGCCTCGATAAGTTCTATGGCGAAGAAGCAGTACATCAGGCGGTAAAGTAGTCCAGCAGGCGGTGAAGTAGGTGAACGGGTGTTAAAGTAATTTGACTGAAATTCGAGTGGATAATCATTTGCTCTTTATATCTGCCAGTGACTTTCCTAGAACGGCTAGGCTCTGGAATTCATTGCCTGTGGAAGTATTTCCAATACCTACCTCCTGTCCCTATCCTCTCTAGGAACGCACGATGTTCTTTGAACATTATAGGGATTCCCTTTCGTGCGCTCCAAGCGATAAAAAAAAACTGAATCCAACATCATTAATGAATTATATATCGACAGTAAATGAAGGTCTAAATCGGTCGTGCATAAAATGTTGTATGTATTTCGTGCTTTTATAGACCTTGGCGTGTTGATAGCCCTCGCTATCGCTTAGTCTAATACTACACGCTACGGTCCATGAAAGCCTAATTCACGTCATTGATACATGAATAGCTATTATTATCAAGTACATCCTTTTCCAGTTATATTTCAGTAAAGTGTCAATTCAAATTCAGAAAACGTTGTTGGGTGAGTGGACTGATAATGAGATAGAGAGACATAATATACTTTATTTCTGACAGTGACATTATAAGCTTATATCGTCATAGTTACGATATCTATAATGAGGGTCATAACTCCCTTGGGATGTTATAGATGCTATAATTCCCTCTAGCTAAAATCAAATAAGAAATGCATAGCAACAACCACGCAATAACGTAGCAATAAGGAATCTCCTATTCGCGGTAGTCAAGATCATCATCTGACGTTCTGATGACATTGAAACTATACGGAAAAACATGTCTAACTTCCAATCGGGAAGGTATCTAATGAATGAAATCAGTCAGAAATAAAATTATCTATGTATCACGGGAATTATAGAGCCTTAATAACCTCTGGCAATTGCTGTCCCTCGGGCCAGAGGCCCTCGGGACGCAAACTTTGCCATCGGTAATTAAGGCCCTCATAATTCCCTTAATACATAAATAACTATTATTATCATAAGAAATTAATTCTTGTTGACAAAGTTTGCTTATGTCTAGAAAATACAAAATATCAAGGAACCTATGTCTAATACATGTATAGTAGTAGTAGGTGGGGAGGCTGTAGCTAAACAAGTAGGCCCCGATGGGACCTTTTTTGCTAACCCCTGCTCTCCACATATCTACTATTCCTTCACCTAGATTTCCTTCACGAATCTCCCTGACCTTCTGATGAAGGCCAGTATGTCCGTCCACTCTAATATAATCAAGTCCTTCTGTTGGAGTTTGTCTACTCCAAAGATTTCAAATCCCAGCCTTCCATACGTCTCGCACTCGCCGAGGAAATGGAGTGACGTTTCCTCGTCTTCCCCGCATCTGCGGCGAGTGGGGTTGTCCTCTATTTCCATAAGTGATAGGTGTCTGCCTAGCCTGTTGTGTCCTGTGAGTACTCCTATGAGGAGGCGGAGTACTTGGCGGTGTCTGCCAAGCAGCCACTCCTTTCTTGATTTGCTTGGACAGGCCATAAATTCCTTGGCCTGTCTGCAACCTGTGATATTCCTCCAGTATAGTGCCTTGTCCGCCCATTCATCGAGGGCTGACGTAATCTGGCTCCTTGCTATGCCTAGTACAGGCCTTAGCGAGTTCGTCTGCTGTTTCGTTTCCAGGCACCCCACTATGACACGGGACCCATACCAGTTCAAGTTTCTTTGATTCTGCTGATATCTCAAGGGCATTTCCACATTCCTGTAAGAATGCGGAGCTTGGTCTGGGATGACAGATAGCCCTGAGTGCTGCCTGACTGTCCGAACAGATGTAGATCTTCTGCTCTGGTCCCTCTTTCACCTCTTGCCTCTCTGCTACGACCAGGATGGCGAACACCTCAGCTTGGAAAACTGTGGTGTATTCTCCTAGAGCGTAGCTTTCTCGTATGTTTCTTCCTTCGAGATAGATCCCTGCGCCCGAGGCCTGTTTGTCAGTCAGACGGGATCCGTCTGTGTAACATACTAAGCTTCCTGGGCGAAACTCCACTGTATTGTTTCTTCATTCTTCTCTGCTTGGAATAACAAGTTTGAACTTCCTATTCCATCTCAGCCTGTCCTGCACTTTATTCACTCTGAGAATAGGAGATAGGAATCTCCTGCTCCACCCACTCCGCTATTTTTGCATTTCCTGTTATTGTACCTTCATTTGCCCAGTTTCCTCCTGAGTCCCGCATCCTCAGGTGGGCATGTCTGATACATACTGATCGATAAACCGAATAATAATAAAAATGTACATGTCAATTTCATACCAGTTAGTATGTAAAATTGTTCTAAAATTGTTCGATCCGTCATTCGGTTGCCCCCTTACGAGCAACCCTCAGAAGTCTTCGAGAGTCTTGTGCGAGCAAGGAATGACGGGACCTCACCTTTCAACGTGTGATCCCAAACACTTTCTTGGGCGATCAGAAAAATTTCTGCAGTCGATGGGAATCGAACCCACGACCGGCAAGCGTATGCGGATTAGAATATCGACACTCCGTCCGCACGGCTACTTGGCCCCAATAAATTAATAAAAAAGATCAAAAGGAACCGTAATACATATTACCCAACCAACAACAAACATAAATCCTATATAAAAAACAGATAACAAGTATATAGAAGTCACGAAAGTGTTAAAATGTGTCAGAGTAGAATTTCTGTAAATTATAATAAGCTTCATGTATCAGTAAGTTTTTCACAGATTTCCTAGGAATGTTCAAATTGGTAGTGTTTTTGACATAACTAGGTAGATGATTGTACATTTTGCAGCAGTTGTGAAAAACAGAATCTTCAATCAATGATTATTCAGGAAGTGGTAGACTTACGTTCATAGCTTCTCGAGTGACATAGTGTGAACGAACTTTGTTAAACGTGTTCAGATGTTTACTTATCAAACAAACGGTTCCTAAAATAAAAATTGCCATTATCGTGAGTATTTTATGTTCATTGTATGAAGACTTATAGGAGTCACGAATTTTAGCTTTGCATATAAATCTTAGCACTCTTTTTTGAAGAACAAGAATACTGTACATGCACCCCAGAATGGAATGCCATACCTGAGATGAGACTCAATTAGGGAATAGTAAACTAGTAAACAATTCTAGCAGCACCAATCCTTTGAGACAATCTTGACTGTAAAACACCCAGAATATATTTTTTCCTCAAGGCTTGAATGTGTTCCTCGAATCTCAACCTAGTATCAATAAACAATCCTACTCTCAATGATATTTGACTCAAGGGGTATGTCCTCAAGTGAGCATCGAAAGGTTAATGAATGTGTTTTCGAAATATTGAGAACAAGTCGATTAGAATCACACAAATTTCTAAAACTGTTGATATCATTCATATCATCTCTTTGAGCTCACTACTGTTCTTGGCACGCTAAACTATTGTGGTGTCATCAGCGAATAGTATAAACTTCCCAGATACGTTGATAGTCGACGACAAATCATTAATATACAACGAAAACACAACTGGACCCAGCACTGATCCCTGTGGCACTCCACATTTTAGAGTAGATCTGGATGATCTTGACAAGGATTCTACTATCTGGCTGCAATTTGATGAGTACGATTTTACCCAATTCATTGTTATCCCTCTGACCCTCTGATACCATAACACCAAAGCTTCTGCAGCAGTATTTCATATTTTACGCGGTCGAAAGCTTTGGACAAACCACAAAAGACTGCTGCCGCTTCATCACCGCTTCATATAAACTTCATAGAGGAAGGAAAATATGAATTATTGGCATATTCAATTACTCCATGCACACTGTGTCATTAGCGTTAGGAATCTAAATTAATTTTTGCAACACTTCTCACGAGTTTTTATGGAATATCAACGCCATTAAAATTTGTGGAGATGACTTCGAGCATGCCTTTCTTCCTTTGATAGATTATTTCGTTCATAAAACATAATATATGACAGATACAGGGTCTAGACCCTAGTGTGTTTGACACTTCTAACAGTTTGACATTATCATTACTAATTTTGGAAAATAAAATCAGCATGTCCTAATAGAAGCTATTTCGATACGCATTTGGGTGACATAATGAGTTAATTTAAAACGTAAAATAGGGAAAGTGCTTTTTCCGCACGCAGAATCTTATAAGAACTATGCTTCGCCTAACTGTATTAGCATGCGGAAAAGTAACAGTTTACGCACTTGTTAGAAAAATCACTATGCTATTCTTCAAGCAACAGTTTCTGTTCATTCCATGTTTGTTTCACAATTATTTTCTGATGATTTCAGGATAACTTCGTCGCTTTACTAGAAGACCTCGCGGCTGTTCTGCATCCAAAGGGGAAATTACTGACTGCAGCTGTTGCTGGAGGTGTGGAAAGAATCGATTTAGGGTTCGATGTTCCCAGAGTCAACGAGTAAGTGAATCAGTGAAATATTCAGTGCTTCCCATTTTGGGCGAGACAGCCAGGTATCTGGTTTTCGCAGTCCTATGCACTTTTTGGGAGTCGGACAGTTCGTCCACGGGCCAGGTACCTGATTTAAGTACAACGATCAGTTGGACCACGACCGCTCTTCGAGCGGATTAAGGTTGTATTCTAAGAATTAAAACAATCACTATTTTCTTAAGATATATTATTTATTATTGAGGTGGATTATAATAAGACATATTTTTTACAAAATATTTTCGTGTTAAAATGCCATTTCTATATTCTGATATCTTAGCTTTGATAAAATCTTTTTTTTTCTGTGTTGCACTTTTGGTTTTTTGGTGGAACATTTTACGGAATTTATTTTAATATACGTTTCTGCTTGAAAGTTTATCAAGATATTTACATTAATTGAATAAACTTGGGTGAGAAATATAAATGAGAATGAAATGATTCACACGCGTTTGTTTCCTACTTCATTAGGGTCTAAAAATGGAACAAAAAAAAAAATAATTCAAGAAAATTGCCTATTTCTGAGTTTTTGTTTCGATATTCTGTAACTAAGCCCAAATTTCGAATTTTAGGATACCACGATTGGCACAAATGGAATCTACATCCTATAATTTTTATATTCGGTCACATTATTGAACAAGCGTTATGAATTGCCTGTTCAAAATCAACAATGGCTGTTGAAGGTTTAAATATCAGATCCAAAGTTTTACATTTTTCATTTAACAGTTGAAATAATATATAAAAGCCATTTTTAAAAGCATGAACAGTGAATAATTGTAGAAAAAATGTAGTACAAAAAAGTGCCACATCGCAATTTGTTATCGATGCGCGAACCTTGTCATTTTTTGACGTTTGTAGAAAAACTAAATTAACCAGATACTTATGAAGGATAATTATGCTTACTAGAACGTTTGAACGTTACTGAAAGAATTCTATTAAATCGATTAGAAAATAAAATGTTAACCTGGTCGAACTGCAGGGTGGGCTTAACTCGACCTTTTTCAAAAAAGGATTAATACAGGTCCTCGTGGTCCAACTGACCGGTACCCCACTTTTTTGTGAAACTCAAGATGGTCTAATCCGATTTTGCATAACTGTTTCCGTTCATGTGATACAGGGCGATTTTGAGGATTGATACTTTTTGAACCCCCTCTTCTCAGCGAAAATGTTAAATTAAAATCATCCCTTTTTTTTGAGGTGGTTGAAATCCTTTTTATGGACATGATATGGGTCGAATCCCCCATATGATAGTGTGGGAGTCCCCTGACTCTAGCCAGGGTATACCCACTAAATATTCCACCAAATCTTCTGTCTTTTGCGATCTGATGCCTCTCATCGGCGCAGTATATTTGATCCACTCCACCCCTAAACTTTCGTATTCCTAGGGCGATATGTTTTTTTTTTCTCACAGTATACTACTCAAAATCATTCACTTTTTCGAGCAAACAAAATGTTGAAGATTATTGTTAATTTACTATTGTGAATGTTAGATTTGACCCTGTATAAGGGACTTTTGGTTGTTGTCAATTTTGACTTGAAATAAAATGAGAAACGTCTATACAGTCCAAGACTATTTTATGTTATAATTCGACCAGACAATAACATTGTGGTCCATCGAACCGTCCGACAAGTCCTGTGGAAGCTGTAGATTAGTCCTCATATGAAATCTGCGGAAATGACGAGTAAACCCTCTGCCGAAGAATCTGTGACATCAGATACGAGGAGAAAAACCGCAGGTATCAATAGACACCTCGACCAAGACTATCTGTGGCCTCTGAAATTTGGACAAGGTAGTTCAAATATAAGGAGTCAAGCACATCCTGAAAACAATCTGGAAAGATCCATTGATAACACACCAGGAATAGTTCAGTCATCATCAATCGGAGATATTAGACGAGTTGATAGTGTACAGTCAATTCCAATCAACTCAAGACATTCTACAATATCGAAAGTTGAGAGTCAGGCTGCTAATTCTAGACATTCGGTGAGGTCAAAGGCATCTACTGTTGATTCGCAAAGAAACAGGTTAGCATTAGAGATTGAGATAGCTAGACAAAAAATTGAAATGGAAATTATCAAGCAGCAAAATCAGCTGAAGATTTTAGAAATGGAAGCTCAGCTTCGTGAGTCAGAACTATTAGACAAACAAGAGTCGCGTTCAGAAAGAAGACAATCAAGTAAACATTCTTCAAATTCAGATAGGAATGATAGTATCACCAAAAGAAGTTTATACCCTGTAGTGACAACTAAGGAGCCATCCGACGACAAACTTTCATCACATCATTCTGCGAAATCATTCGTTGCAGATTGGGTGAATAATATACCAGAGGATCCGGAAGAACTGACTAGCAATCCTTCTGAATTTCTTAAACTTGATAGACAGGACAACATGATAAAGCAGACACGACAAGAAGGAGTCAATGACTATAAATGTGGATACCATGGTGACGTTAAAAATAATCGCTGTTCACCATCTGATAACAATTCAGATATCAAGATTTTATGTGAATCATTAGGAAATGTCCTGAAAAACATGGTTCCCAATAAATGCGAAAAAATGTATGCAAGACACACAAGTGATAAAGACTTTCCTATCTTTGACGGAAAACCAGATGAATGGCTTACATTTATATACCAGTTTAAGAAGATTTCTGCATATTGTGATTTTTCACCTGAGGAATGCATGATGAAACTCAACAAGTGCCTCAGGGGAGAAGCGAAATTTGCTGTACAAGGTATGATGATGTCTCCGCAAAATTTGAATGTGGTTCTGAAAACCTTAGAAATGAGATTTGGTAGACCAGACCAAATAATCGATGTACTCCTATCTCGAGTGAAAACACTGCCATCAATTCGTGAATATGACATGGAGACCATCATACAATTTTCGAATCACGTCACATGCCTAGTATCTACAATAAAGTCTCTGAACTATGATGCGCACTTACAAAACCCACAATTGATCAAAGAACTATATCAAAAACTACCGAATAATCTGAGATTACGTTGGGGGGAGAGTGTTAAAGCAAAACAAGGTATTGTCGACTTAGAAGATTTTTCAAACTGTTTGGCAGGAATAGCTGAAGCTGCATGTTACGTCAGTACACCGAAGACAACAAAAATGAGTCACAATTATTCTCAACAGAAGTATGAGAGATTTCACTTGACCAACCGGATTCTAGAACCGGTGTGTTCCTTCTGTTCAGTCCGAGAGCACAGCATTGACAAATGTGAACTATTCAAAGCCCTAGATGTGGATACTCGTTGGACAGAAATAACAAACAAGAAACTCTGCTTTTCATGTCTCAGAAGGAACCATCAAACGAAGAAATGTAAATCACGAAAGGTTTGTGGAATAAATAATTGTAGATTATATCATCACCAACTTATGCATAAAGCAAACGTAGAGACCAGACTAAGATCCAGACCTACCGAGAATGTAGCTACAACTTCCTTGAGTAACACATTGAGTGAGAACGTTTTGACCCTTGGTTTAGGGAATAATAATGTGTTATTGAGAATGGTCAATGTTATACTATATGGTTCAGGAAATATCTGCATCGAAACGGTAGCCCTGTTAGATGAAGCATCAACTGTTACCTTGTTGGATTCTTCTATTGCTGATCAACTGTACCTGAATGGAACCCAAGAACCACTTTGTATACAGTGGACTAATCATATCACGTATGAACATGAAGAATCGCTCTGTATGAACCTAGACATCTCAGGTGACTTTGAAAATGCCAAAAAGTTCACAATGAAAAATGTCAGAACTGTGAAGGATTTGAATTTGCCCTTTCAAAGTATAGATTCCAGAGAGTGGATGAACTATCCATATCTGGAAGGTATTCCACTTGCTGATATCAAGAAACGTCCTATGTTGTTAATTGGACAGGACAATGTACGCATTAGTGTCCCTAGGAAAGTTATACAAGGTCCTGAAGAACTACCGATAGCCACGAAAACAAACTTAGGATGGATTTTACATGGAAATACCAAAAATTCAGATCCAGTCAGTAATAATTACATATTTCATATCTGCACCGAAGAAGACGACTATCTGCACCAGTTAGTGAAAACATCTTTTAGTCTAGAATCATTTGGCACATCAGAAATAAAAACAAGCAAAGAAGAAGCTCGAGCTCTAGAAATAATGAAAACGACAGCTAGACGTATGGGTGATAGATTTGAGATAGGTCTTCTATGGAAATCTGATGATATCGAGTTACCAGAAAGCAAATCAGTAGCTCTCCGAAGACTATTGTGTGTAGAAAAACAAATGAAAAAAGACCCAGGATTTAAGTTGAAATATTGTCAGAATATACAAGCTTACGTTGAGAAAGGTTACGCAAGGAAACTGTCAATGGAAGAAGCCAGCAGCGAACCTTCTAGAAGCTGGTATCTACCACATTTTGGCGTGATACATCCGAACAAACCTAATAAATTACGTCTAGTATTTGACGCTGCTGCGAAGTCCCAAGGAACAAGTCTCAACGATAATTTATTACCTGGCCCTGATCTACTTCAGTCAATAGTTAGTATTTTGATCAAATTCCGACAGAGGAAAATTGCTTTTAGTGCAGATGTACGTGAAATGTTCCACCAAATTAAGATACGTAAAGAAGACCAACCATCTCAAAGATTTTTATGGCGTGACGGAGAATATGACCAACAATGTGCAGTTTACGAAATGGAGTCTATGACTTTTGGAGCTACGTGTTCTCCTGCTTGTGCTCAATACATTAAAAATTTGAACGCTCACGAGAAAGCATCATCAAAACGAATCTTGGACGCAATTGTTAAGAAACATTACGTCGATGATTATCTTGATTGCACGGACACCATCGAAGAGGCAAAAGAAATAATAAAAGAAGTGAGAACTGTACAGAAGTCAGGAGGATTCGAATTGGTGAAATGGACATCGAATTCGAAAGAAATAATGAGTTACTTGTGTGCCGAAGAAGACATTTCTAAAG